ATTATTTATGAGCAAAACTATAATTACACATTATCAATCAATCTTATTACTATTATAATCAACAATCCACCATTTACCTCAAACAAATGTTTAAATAACACAGCGACTTAATATGACGTAAGCTTAATCGAACAAGCAATACGGTAGTTGGACAACTCTCGTTTGCCTTACATTGTTATTGACGAGCTGTTTTGATGTCACTCAATATTGTTATTTAATTTATTTTTAAAAAAACGTTGGCACACGTATTTTCTTGGAAAGTTTTAAATTTAAGAGTGAACGACATATTGTTTCATTGATGACATTAATATTTTACTGTTTTATAGTACAGATGCATTAAAACCGTGCTTCATAGTTCCCAGAGGCGTCGTGGGAGTTGGCACACGGAGCTATGGCAAATAACTGGTAACTAAAATTAATGTAATATAATATAAATATATATATTAATAAATAAATCAATAAATACATTTATAAACATAATCATTGTTAAATTTTTTTGTCATTAATATTTAGTTTGCCGTCAAAAAATTGAGAAAACATAAAGAAGCCGTGGCATGAAGAAGTTTGAATAGCTCTGAGTTATACAACATTATTTACGTATTTCATAGTGTAAGATAGCTATTAAAATCGGCGTTTAACCAAAATTAATTAATAACAATAATGCTTACCTCGATAGGTGGAACTGCTTGATACAAATAACTTATACTTTTAAAATTATTTATCTTCAAAACGGAACCGTTCGAGCTTATAATAATGTGGAATACACATATCATAGTTACCTATATCATTCGATTGGATAACAAACAGAAGGGAAATACCAGAATAATGGAAGTTGGTACACTAAATTGGGAGATTACAGGTAGCGCTCTGAATCCAACATTCCACCACTAAAAAGTACGTGTAAACATACCATTTTTGACATTTTAATCATTATATCAAAATTTAAGTAAAATACCATACAATATTTTAAACTTTCAAATTACTTCCTTCATTCATATAATAACAATAATATGATTTTGTAACATTTTAACATTATATTTATTTATACTTCTACTAACTCATTATTTGACAACTCCGTCGGTATCACTAAGATTTTTAACTTCAATTTTATCACAATATAATATTCTCTTTCCTAATTATAAAGTTTTAATTCCATATATTTACTCAACTAAACATTGCTAGTACAAATAAATTGCTGTTGTAAAAAAAAAATAAACTTAATAGTTTAAATGTAATTTTACTTGTTTTACTTTTCGCACTGTCTAATGGACAACTGTTAATATTAAAAGCATTATTATATTGGGTGTTTTTTTTTTAGAATGGTTAAAAATAGATACAAGTTTCGATTGTTAAAATATTATGATAAATACTTTCAGAATTTAACATACACATTATTCTTCTATTTTTATTTGTATTTGATATGTAATGTTTATTATTATGTATGGTATTCATATTATTTAACTTTCTTCAATCGATACTAGTGATTTTATTAATTCATAGAATATCTTTTATTCAACAAAATAGTTTCATCATTATTGCATATTATATTATATTAAAAAAAATCTATAAATTATGTCAATAATATTTCACCAATACAAAGTTATGTAAATATACGGTTTATGAATTTAAATCGTCCGAGACTTGTTTATCGTAAACACTCGAGAGCTTTCTAAAAGCAACAGGAGCGCAATTTAAAAAAATTACGAAGTTGCCTGTTTTTTACATGTTTACTCAACGTGTAATGACGCTTTAACACGAAGGAATGCAATTTCTTTTAATTAACTTTGTCTTAAACTTTCTGTAACAACAAATACAGTTTGTTCAGGTCTGTTGAAATATTTTACAAACACAATATGACATAATGTGTACGAAATTTTACTCATAGAAAAAAAATAATGTTATTATGTAGGTTTTATTAGATCAAGGTACCTCATGACATTGAATAGTATTGATAATTTATTTATCATTTTTTTATGGATATTTTAAAAGTAGGTATGTATTTCTTTTAAAGCGCATTATCAAGAAAGATAATAATAACAATAATACCGACCTACGTATCGCGTAATTGAATTCAAAATCTAATAATTTGAAATGAAGTATTTGCGAGTTTTTGTTTTATTCATTTGCAAGTATTATTATATTATCTTATCATTATTTTTAAAGGAACAATAGTCAATACAATTACTATCGTTTTCAGATTGGACTTGCATTTGACATAATAATTCTATAAAAGAATTCATGATTTCCGAATTAATAATCTCATTACCAAAAGTATACCTAATTCAAATAATATACATTACGTATAAATAATTATAGTATGCAAATATAAATGATGATGAGTTCCCTCTCATTCAATTTTCGCAGAAAATTATTTAACATTTTGAATTGAGTTCTGTGAAAACTAAAAATGGTTTATGTTCAATGAATTTCCTGAGCGCAATTTTAATATTTTGTTATAGGTATAATAATAAAGTATACAAACTCAATAAAAATAAATAGAGCATTTTGTAGCTCAATGACAGTACCCAACTGTAACAATTATCTACATTGTCTACAGTTTAAAAATATTTAAATCATTTATTTAAGATGTTTCAACGTGTTTTTTCATTTAAACGGCTGTGCTAAATTTAGTAATTAACACAAGACAGACTTTTTTAATTTTAATGAAATGAATAAGATTGTCTTTTTAGTATTAAACAAGTGAGGATGGCTACGACTTAGGGACCGTGCTGAATTAACTGTTTCTATATTGTATGAATAGTGTATCCGCCTGTCTGCATCTTTAATAAATAAATAAATATTTAATTTAATTTTTAACCAATTATCAAACCTATAAACAGTAAATAATAACAGTACAACAAAATACAATTTACACTTTTAACAGATTAATGTAATTATTCAAGGTGTCAAACATAACATAACAGATTAAAGACATAATTAAAGACATATTTGGTACTGTCACATAACTTAACCCGCGCTTGTATGTAAGAAATTTGACAAATTCTTGAAATTATTATTATACTCCATGTATATTGTTTTTAATTTATCCTATATTTATATATTATAATAAATTTGAAGTTATTTTTATACTTTGGTATACATTAGCATATGATTTTATACCAAATTATAAAATAAACTATGTTTGCCCAATTTCATATTTCACAATTATTCTAATTTTATTGACGTCAAATCATTTTTAATAATCTCTTTTAAATAGTGATGGTCAATATATTATCTTTGCGCCAAATATTATTTCGTTATGTAAAAAATACCTACGATCCAAACACAAGCCGTTTCACCCTGAGAAGCTATTAGTTATTTTGAATACATTATATTGTAGAACCACTATATTATCATGTCTATCTAGTGTTTACTTTAGGCTATCACTCACAGTACCTACCCACAACTAGTTTTAAATTTTTTCCGTTTCTTCCTGCCATTGACTTTTTTATTTAACCAGTTTTATGAATTATTGCAAATTTTAGACTTATATTTTTGGCAGTTAATTGTTGTGCCACATTGCTATTTATTAATTGAGTCAATACCAAAATAAATAAAAAATAAAAATGTATTGTTTTAATTTTGATGTTGGTAACCACAGTAACGAAATGATAAGACAGTGGAAAGGACATGACGATGATACAAGCTATTCTATTCTTACCATGATATGTCCCTTTCTAGATTTTTTAAATCAAATATTGTGAGCATTGAGCATCACGCATTGGTATAAAATATATTAATATTTTTTAATTTTACATTCTACCAGTTAAGGGCTCACGGATTCTAGAAACTTGATAGAAACTTAAATATGTTTGTTTCACAATAAACGATAGTTAGTAAACACCTCAAGGTTATTGACACAAACAACAACATGGCGTTATTATAAGATATTATAATCAGAATATTGATTTACAATAGTAATTACCGAGAATAAGGTTATTCAAGGTTGTTCAACATAATAGAAATATTATAATAATATATTTTGCGAATCCAGAATAAACCGCATCAAATATACCAATTAATAGTAGTTAGTATGCTTCTCACGTATTGTGATTTATGGCAAAGAGTTTTGATTTGCATAATATATGAAAACAACAAACACACAAAAAACAAAAACAAAAACTACAAGATCAGTGGTAAAGAAATACACGTTTTTACTATTCAAACTTTGTTCTATAATTTTGAATATTACATTGACTAGGTAGGTACCACTGTTGTATTTATCTGTGAACATTTACTGAAACGAATTCACACAAATTCTGAAGGAAAATTATCATAATAATGTGTGGTTGTAGTTTGAACGGCACGCTACATGCCACTGAACACAATATTAACTGTGTCAAGATAAATGGCATTAAAATGACGTTAATTGTCAACAATAATAACTTTGGCCAATCTCTTTTTGAGACTAAAATATTATGAGGACGAATTTTAATACTACCCAGTAACTTTGAGTGTAAATTATATTTTTCTCATTGTTAGATTTGCTGTTGAGCGTTTAAATTGCAATCAAATTTCTTACAGTTTTAAAATAAATAAAAATAAAGTATAAAACTGCAGAAGTTTATAGTATACAGCTTAATATTCTTATACTGGAGATCGGTGGTCTTTAGATGGAAAATATTATCCGATTAGGTATTTACTATTAATCGCGTATTAGACGAATTAGTGTCACATAATGTTGTAGTCGTGTCCAGGGGTCAAAGTACAATAATCCCAATAGAGTGGTATCAGAAAAAACCTAACAAATTTACATTCCACATAAACCACTTATATTTTTCTACTCAAAAACGTAACAATTTCGATAATTCGTATCTGTTCAGTAAAAATGTAGTTTCTTGTGATTCTGGGGCCGAAACCCTTATATCCGCATTGTATTATCATCTCATCACGAGTTTAGGTTATTCCAATCCCCATAATGAATTACCAAAAACAGAAAACAATTTTCTCCGGTAGTGCATGCGATATAATATAGCGATCAGAATGCAAAGGATACTCACATAACAAGAATTGTAATATTTCGACTGCGTGTCGGAACAGTACGTCGGTGGTGGGTGGAAATGTATGCTGTCCATGCGTGCAGTCGCCCCTAGATAGGACGATCCGGACATGTCTACGTAAGCGTAGGTACCTGTGAAATAAAACAGAAACACGAAATATATTTTGAAGAAAAAAAAACCAAACGCAATTCGCGAATCACGAACACAGGATGTACGAAAAAAAAAGGTGGCTGTAAAAATATTATTGATATTGATTTTCATTTGACGTCCAAAGCGGGTAGTCATATATTATTACCAGTTCGGTTGCGGAAAGTATTATCCCATTTCGGGCCGGTAAATTTGTGTCGGTCGCCTTTGTACAGTTTCCACGTCAGAGACATTTCGCCAGACGCGTTCCGCCATCCGCAGAACCCAGACTCGAACGTACATCGAGCTTCGGTGGGTACGAGAACTGAAACGATAATATAGGTAAGTACGAGAATTAGCATAACAATATAACACAGAGTGGCCAGACGTCCCGTTTTTTTATGCGGTCAAGTATCGTATTTCAAAAGTCTGTCCTGGGTCTAGATAAACATATCATTCGGGGAGTTTTTAACAATATGCCCCATTTCATACTTGGTAAAAATATGCAAAACAAATAACAACTGCTGCCATGTTAGACGCCAAAGATGCATCAACTTCTACTACCAGCTGTTAAGCATATTAATATCATCATGCAAATACCCACTAAAAAAGGCCTTATTTATCTTAAACACTAGTCATATTATTCTTTAAAGATTTTTTCATTCATTAAACTATGACACAATATTATTTTAATAGAAATTAATGTTTTATTTTTTAAACATTAAAAAAATCGAGCAATTTTATGTTTTACATGAGTCCACCCTAATATAATAATATAGTATGTATAACTTACATAAAATGAACAAATTCATAGAGCGAATACCGTATTATTAAAGTCAAATTCTCAACGACTTCAAACTCAAAATCATTATCTTTAAACAAGTCGAAGTTAATGTTTTGAAGATCACACCAAGTTTAAAGACATGTTTAATTGTGTTGAAATGATGTGATGTGAAAATATATTATTACGCAATTTAATTAACCAAAGAGGTCATATATTATTATATGTGTGTGTTGTTTTGTTCCACACGAAAAATCAATGCCTTTTCGAGAAAATCGTCGAAAATGTCATCATATAATATATTGTTGTATCTCGAAAATGAGATCGTTATAGGCTACCAATATGTTTGCGAAGCCTAACAGTAATGTTGGACATATCAACCAACAACAATAGACGATTTCGAAGTGGCGCTCCGTTATCAAAATAATGGATGTTTTGTTCTTATTTTGTTAGTGTACAATCAGATCGTTTTGGAAGTTTGGAACACAACTCTCATTGTCCACAACAGTAAATAATGTCCACGGTCAATTAATGACTTCGGGCCATTATAACACAATGGGCGCCAAAAACTCTAGATAATAATAAAAATAATATTATGTCCTTCGTCCATAATTATTAACGTTAATTTCGTGGATCAAAACTTTTTTTGAAATTGTACGTGTTATACAAAGAGTCTTTGACGGTTACGCGCTCGAAGAACGAATCGGAATAAAAATACAAAATCAGACCTTCCATTTCTTTTTTCAATTCTGAATAGTTATATCGATATTACTAATAATAGTACCCGATGGATAATTCGAATGCTATTTTTCACCAGTCGTAGCAAATCCTTTTGAAATAAAAATAAAGACGGACAATGGCAGACAACGTCGGATGCCGAAAATATTATTTCGTTAAAAAATAATTCATTATTTCCATACGAACACTACAAAATAATAATATAATAGCCGAGTAATATATTATTACTCAACGGGATTCACGAAAAATGAACAAACACGATGGTGACAGATGAACGGTAGGGGGCGCAAACCACAGTTGTATTACATATTATTATAATACGTTGTTTGGTGGTTAAAAATAATAATTTTTCTCAAATTTCGTCGTTCGGGTAGCATGCAAAACTCAAAATATTAATTTACTTACACTAATTGCATAGCTAACATTCAAATCAGTTATGTGTTATACGCGTGACGAAAATATATAATTAGGTCATGATCAGCACGTGGCTAGTACCATAAGAGGTATGGTAAATATTTTATGAGTTTAAAATTTAAAAAAAAATTTCAATGTCGTCGTTCGGGTAACTTGCAAAACTAATGCTTTTAAAATAATTTACTTACACTAGTTGTTTATCTAAAATTTGAATCAGCTGGATAGGTACATGCTATATACGCGTGTCAAAAAAAATAATTTAAGAACATGATCGGCACGTGGCTTCTACTATAGAACTAGTGTAGTAAATATTTTATGATTTTGGAATTATAAATTGCATTTCACTAAAATATATACACAACAAATATTATTGAATTCTGTATATTGTTCGAGTTTACATTTAATAAAACTATAAGCAAGTATAAACACACTGCACATAATAATATCGAAGTACCTACATTATGAAGGTAATTAATGGCAGGATAGTTAATTAATTTATGGTATAGTAAAAACAAAAAAAAAACTTATACCACGGTGTAGTTAATTATGATACAACTAAGGAAGTATTGCCTAAGTACAAAAAAAAAAACATTTAATATTAAAGTACGCGTTTGTACTCTTTTTTGTTAAATTATAAACAGTAGGTAATGTGAAAAATGGACAGAGAATGCTAAGAAAAATACAAAGTGTAAATGACTAAAATCAAGTACCTAAAATAACACATATTTTATAACTAAAAGACAGCATCTAAGATACAGTTTAAATAGTTTCTCGTTGCATTTTGATTAGGAGCAATCTATAGGGATCAATGGAGCATTTGAAAACTGAAACTATAAATCATTAAATTAATCTGATAAAAAAACTACCTGAACAAATCAAAAATTAATATTTTTTTTAAGCTATCGCGTGACTTTGAAATTTGAGTGTTCGGTTAACAAAGTTCTTGAACTTACAAATTACACGTAATAATAAAGAAATTGTTGATTAGATTTTTTAATTAAAGTCTATATTATTATTAATAATAAAATATAGTTGAATAAGGTTAGATATGAGTGCCCTAATATATTCTACTACCATATTTAATTAGACCTTGAAGTTCTTAAAGTAAAATTATCTCAAAATATATTTAGAAGCACAAAGCATTTTTGACAGGTTTATATAATACGATTTAAATAACATTAGTCAACTATTAACAACAAATTATAAGTCGTGTTGATAAGACCTTGAACATATTGTATTATAATTCAGTTTGGAACTACGAGATCGTATTTATACTTAACAAGTTGTTGAAAACAAGGTCACGTATAATTTTAAGTTTTCCTGGATCTTAACTTGTAGTCTGACAAGTAAGCTCCAAAAAATTACCTCTAAATACAATATTCAATCAAGTTACCGGTCTTATATTATTAAAGTTATTTCACATTTCTGAAAATAGATTTTGAATACAAATCTGATCTTGAACGTTATTCAGAATGTTCGAAAATCATTCATATTTTATATTTTTTTTTAAATTTAACGATTTCCAATCCTGGTTTTAACTAAATGAAGTTAAAAATGAAGCACCTATTTAAAGAACGACGTAAGTCACAAAATATCGAAAATTTAAATATTGAGTAGAATGTGTTATCGAATAATAATAGACAGATCATGTGTGGAACATTTGCAAACAAAATATTTAATTTTACCACTGTAATAATAATCGGTATGAAAGAGAAATAACTATGTACCACTGGTAGCGTAAAACAGTTTTTTCTCGTTTTTTTAGAATTAACTTTTATGGACTTACGTCGAATCTCACATAGGTGGTTCAAATATAATACTTATATAATACTTATAAGAACATTTTCATTTTTAAATTCTACTTATTCGTGCTTAAATTATTTTCTGATTGTAATAATGGTCAATCCAGATACAAACACTAGTTGCAACTCTAATATTTTGATGATAAATACAATCATTTTTGAAAGAAAACTATATTATTTGTTTTACCTTAGGTAGGTGTATTTTTTGTCTCATTAGTATTCTGCACATTAAATCGTATACGGATAAAAATTGTTCATCAAACTTTATAGTCTTTTTTTTGGTAAATATATAAGTTGTACTATAATATTAAAAGTTTAAATTCTATTACATTATAAATGTTGCGCTAAGCTTTATTCGAGTATTTACCACATTATTAAATTAATGAAAACATATTTTCAAATGTGAGAACATTAAATTATACAATATGTTAATAAGCTTGGTGAAATGTACAACCTAGTTTCACTATAATAATTTAAAGGACTTCATATTTTGCTGGAGGTGTTAATAATTTACATGACTAATTTGGAGAACATTAATTAATTTGTTAATAATACATTTTGTTAGAACACATGCAGCACTATTGCTTAAAATTTCAATATGTGTACCTATATGTAGATAGAGTTAAAGGGTTATTATAAAATTATATAATTGAATTTGTGGCACAAGTGGCATTGAAATATTTTAAGCATATTAAATAAATGTATTATTTAAAACTTTTTAGATCGTTGAATGAAACCCGAGATTGAATTGAATCATTAATGATTATTGACGATTCTACGGATAACAATGTTATAATATGAGCATAAGTATTTTGTTTTTTTTGTCTAGAGCTTTGGATGTTTTTGAATTCACTGTAACCCCGAACACCTATAAAAACCCAAACAACAATCATGCAATTTGGAGGATACTATATTTTCGTGCTGTTCACTGATATGAAACATAATAGAAATCCACGTACCAAAATTAATTGCTAATAATTGTTGGCAAAAAAAGGTTATACTTACAGCAGTTTTCGGTTTCATCGGTTTCATCGGGACAATCTGGACTGATGTCACAGACATGATGATAAGGTATACATGTCATGTTATCAGAGCACAGAAAGTGTGAGTCTGTTGGACAACCGTTATCAGTTATGCCAGTAAAGTATTCTGAAAAATACAATTGTTCAGGTTATTAATATATAAAACAGAAACATGATATTTTTTTATGTTAGGCAAAATACATAAATAAGTAAGTTATATAGGATTATCACTTGTTTAAAAAAATAAATAAGTCGACATTTATGTCACCGTTATTTCATTTCATCATTGTTATTTCATTATCATGACATATACATCAAGTCTCTATATTTTTTTTTTTTTTTTAATCAATGATTTGTCAGATGTAGTTGGTGGGGTATATTTTAATCATGACTCACGAGTGAACTGCTCGCAATAACAGACAAACGTATTTGTTTTGTACCTAAATTATAAATAATATAATGGACTACGGACTACTAATTAGAACGCGACAAAAAAGAAAAGTTCAGTAAAATTCTAAAAATAAACGGTCAGTGAGCAGTAAGTAAAAGACGTTTTTTAAACAAATAAACTTTTCGGTTTCTTTTAATAAAACAGAACTCAGTATGAGGCACATGCATAAAATATCCCGGTCACTGTACAATTGAAAGACCAGAGATTACAAAAGGTGAATTTTCTGGTTTAAAAAAATGAATAGGCACCATATAAATGTTGAGCTATAAATTACATCTTAAATAAACCCTGGCAAAGTTAACAGTTGGGTACCTTGTATTTGTTTATAAAAATAAATAATATGATGTCCCTACACAAAGGTGTGAATCCTACTATTTAAAATGACGTTTTTCCCGAGTTATAAATACTATTTGTTTTGTTTTTTATTCCGCAGTGACTCGTAATAATTGCACGTTGCTGATGGTTTTTTTTAAAAACAAAATCTTTAATATTCATGGAATAAACTAAGTACAACAATGAACGTGTAAATGCCTCGGAAAGCTTTATAGAGTATTTTTGTGAATAATTCGTCAGCCACGATGTGTGATAAATTGAGAATTTTGGTTGTTTTTTTGTTTTGTATTACCTATTTTTTTTTATTTGATGAAACCGAAACGATTTAGTTATTTTGAAAACCTTGTATAATGCCACCAAGGTACAACTAAACCTTCATTTTCGGTCGAATGCAAATTAATGTACTCTACGGATGCGTGCAATTACGCTTGTAAACTATAATCGTACGTTCAACCCTCAACAGTAAAACAAATAATAATAACAACACCAATACTGGATAGGTAACATTAAGTGTCATTCAGGTACAAGCGTAGGTGTACCCTCACACAGAAGTCATGACGATGTTATAAAACAATGTTTAAACGGATAGTGATCGTAATTTATGAATTTACACAATATATTATGTAACAATATTATGGCAGTAAATCAAAATTGGTCGCGTCGTCCTGAAGTACGTATATGATGTATGGAAAAAGGATTTTACGTCGCCGACGAAATAATTTAATCGAATACGACAACGATTATTATTGCAGAGTTGAAACGGTTTATTTTCAAACGTGTTGTTTGAATATTTTAATCAAAATATACACAATACTAGGCATAATTCCGCGTGACATCCTGAATGAAACTTTTTTGACTTGGGTCTGTGTGAGACGGTTTAAATGTATATTTATATTTTTTTTTTTTTTTTGTTTCCCCCCATTAAGACCATTTTGTTGAATAAACACTTCTCCGTCTATCTTCAGCTGAGCCCTTCCAGTTTATTAGCTTTTGGGACTACTACTTTTATATATTATTCCACAAGATCATCTCATTTTGGAAGTGGCTAATAAGTGGCGTTTTTAATATCTGAATCCTACATTTTACGTTTAACGAGTTATATCCATTTATTGATACGTTTTGTATCGGTGAAATTAATTTACCATTTGACATTTTACTTATTCAAATGTGGTCTTAAAAAAAATGTTACCTATTATAATTTACACAATAAACTCAAAAATTTAACGAGTATATATTCAATACCTACTCACAGTTACGCACAAATAAAACAGATAACGAATATTAAATATTTTATAATATTGTATAATATTTGGTTATGACAAGATATTTTATCTTTCATTTACATAATTGTTTTATACAAATGGAATAAGGTAAAATATTTTACTTTATATTACATACTAATATTTAATTCATACATTTAATTTTAATATGTTTTTAATAATATACATAGTTTCTATAATTACCTGGTAAACAATCTTCTAGTCTAATGTCATCAATGGCGACATGTGACCCAGGCTTGATATTTATTTCAATAATAACTTGTCTTGTCTGTCGACCCAACAATATTTTCTTTTTCTCCCAAAATCTAAAAAATAACAGATTATAATCAAAGCCATGGAATTTATAGTTATTTAATTTAATTACAGTAATCGTCAATTCCTGAAAAAAAAAGATTAATTTCTGTGTTAAAAAATATATACTGATTAACTTATTAAAATAAAATATATGCAAGTAAACTCACAACAGCTAACAGATAATTCATATTTCGGGGTCTCAATCGTTTTGGTTGTGGGTTAAAGTTTTTTTTTTTTAAATCGTGAATTCTGCTTTAAAATAACTAATACCAATATTCATTTTAGAGATCTCCGATTATTATTTTTTGTTCAACTGTTTTTTAAGACTTCTGTAGTATCTATTATAAACAATTAGTAGATTTCTTGTTTATGAAATATTGGACCAATACCAATGTATTATTCTTTTGTCTTATGCTTTGAGGTTAAATAATTCTCATACTTTCATGTTATTAAATACAAATATTTTAGATGACTTATGTGTTTGTGAGCACCTAATCAAAGTGTAATATTATGAAAAGAATTATGTTTACAGAACATAAGTTATTGGAATAACATTTGTCTCATTTAAAGAATAAACATGTTTAAAAAAAATATAATACGGTTCCATGAATAATTAATGTTTAAGAAGACGTCTTGTCATAACTACATAGTTTTCTCCGTTCTACAAATGGATTAATTTGTAGAAAACTTTTTAGGAGTTTCAACTTCGCGTTGTTACCTTAAATAATATAGTGAATAGACCAACTATATTTATAGTACTTTAATTTTTAAGCGAGTTATGAGCATTTTTAATGTAAACTAGGTCATTCGCTATAATATATTTTAAACTAATATGGAACTAGAATTTATGAACTTAAAAATTGGTATGTTATACGTTAGTAAAAATAAGACAGCCATCATCATCTTAAGTAAAACAAAAATAAGAAAATCTTTCCACGAGAACTCGTTTTTTTCCTCGTGAATAATATAGAATATCGTACAAGTATAAACTTGTTCTCAACAAATTGATGTGAAGTATTTTTTTAAAAAATTAGTCAAAATTCCGGCTTTAAATGCTAATAAAAAAATATTGCGGCTATATATTGTCGATATTTTTTAATTTGTAAATGAACAACATGGCGTTTATAGGCAGTAAAGAATAGCACACGCATTTGTAAAATTAATACATTCATTGCAGAATCCAAAATTAATGTCGAACTGCAAAATTATTCATTTTTACAATATACACAAAAACAAATAGGTACAACAATAATCAATTATTAATACAATTATGTTCAGGGATATTATAAATAAATCTCGTGAAATTTTTACGTACATGGCGAGTGGCTCTGACATGAAATAATGTTCATACATGATATTTATCCGCATTAGTTATTATGATTGTATTTGTATATTCTACAAATACATTGTATCATTTGAAATCTTTAATAGGTGCTCATGATAAAATATAATCGCATTATCTGATTTATGAATTATTATGTAAACTTGAATTATAATATTATCATAGGTGAATTGTTTGTATTAGAATATAGTCCTCAGCAGTCTTTACAATATCTGCTTATTATTATCATTATTGTTATCATTATACTTATCCTTATCTCCTTCTCTTTATTAGACGGAAATTAGGCCAGGGCCTACATATTTTGTCGCCGATCGGTACTATGGTATATGTACCACACGCACAAACTCAGTACCAGGAAAAATCGCTCGTTCAAAGCAGGTATGAATATACAAGTGTACAATATTCACCTCGAATAGGATTTGCGAACAAGACTGTTTACTGTTACGTGCTTGACAGACCACATACACATGCTCATTTGTTGTTCATTTTACTATTGGTAGGTTTTCTGCCTGTATAATGTAGTTATGTTGATATTATTTGTTCAAATAGTTCGATCGTAAATGCAACTCTACCAATTATGATTATTTTGTAATAAATTAACACAATACGTTATATTTGTGCACAGGGTGACTCTATAAAATTAAAAGCTATTCATTGATAACCAACTGTACCGTTTTGGGTCAATTTTTTTTTTTTTGATATTCTCAATATTCCATATAAGTTTTTCTTTTTTTTTTTATTATTGAACTTAAGCCCGGCCACTAAGGCCATTAGCTGTTGCAGGGGTTATGAACTGTGTTGGGGTTAAGGTTGGTATGGTAGATTGTTTTTTTACGATTGTTACGGTTGTTACGGTAGGTAGCAAACACGTGTATGTGTGCCAATGTTTTTAACTACTTTGAACCCGGGTGGTCACTCATACAACACAATCCAGGATCTTCATTTCGGTATTTTAATGTTCTACACAATGTGGGCACACTACGCTCATCGATCCAATAGCAACAGGTGGATCTGCACTGTAATCGATTTTCGGATAAAAACGGAATTCACCTTGATCATTATCCATTGCAACATTTGTACGTTTTAGTGCTCGGTTATTCATATTCATTATTTCCCGATTTTTTTCGACTGACCAAAGATATCTCGTTTAATTCATTTCATCATTGTTTGAAGTTTTTCTTTCTTCTAGTGTACGCAGTTAAAGTGATTGAAATGACCAACGCCGTTCAATTTTAATGTTCTCTGTGTGTTGATCTGCAGTTTGATTAGATGAAAATATCGTTTGTTTTGCAGCATTGAGCGTATCATCTGTGACCTCGGTTGCTTACCTCATATGAGGGCTTATTGGAATCATAACTCGACTGAAATTATCTGTATCTGTAACTATTGACTCGAAAAAAAGAATACAGCAGTCAGCAAACATCATGAAATTGATCGAATCGCAGCTCCGGTAATAGAGTCCATAACCAGTCGGGTGACAGTGTAATCCTATTATCAAGTGGGTAAACGATATAGTGACCAAATATAAAAATTATTATAATATTCAATCATAACTACAATAGTATTATATGTACCAAAACTGGCTAACATTTATAAGTGAAAAATAATTTATAGAAAAATCCCATAGAAAAAAAGGACTTTCTTTGTCGTTAAACTTCTTATTACAAACATTTTCTAAAAAATAAATTAAATCGGTCCAGCCGAGTTCGATTGATGAGGTTACCAATGAACAGATTTTCATTTGTATTTACTCTCTGACGTGCGCCACGAAATATTAATAACAATAACAACTTTAATCATTGTAAAAAAGTTACAAATTGAAAAAAAAAATGTAGAAAATAAAGAATGCTTGTTGAAATTGTATCGTTAGCAATATACGTGCCATCAGTGCACACTTTTACCGAAATGTATCATTAATAATATTCTTATAGCTGGTTTATTTTACTATATTTCTATATAACGATATTATAATAAAATATCAGGGTCTTGAGAAATGATCAACATTCCAAAACTATTAACTGTTATGTATCACATAACAATATACAATATACAATATTAATACTCCGACCGGTCAAAATTTAATTTAGGTCATGGGTTGATGCGGAAAATTGATAAATATGTTTGACTTTAACACAATTTATTATGTTCAAAAGTTTTCAAATTAAAAACGTTAAATCATTAATTAGTATTTAAATATTTATCCACTGTTCATAATATTATGAAATTATATTAATCGTACATCATAAAATAATATATGAATAACGGTGGTACATAATATAGTTTATTATGAAAATTGATTTTTAGTGGAAGTGAAAACTGAATTCAAAATATTAAGCAATGTTAAGCAAGTAGCACCGGATCTTCGTGTTTAGAATATAAATGTGACAAGTGTCATATTTTGTTTTAATATTAAAACGTCGTGTAAAATACAAACGATGTTTACAAAAATGTCTTTTGTACTTCCAGGTTAGTGTGAATACTTTAATTCATACGCGATGCTCGTCCGGATTATTGCAACTACCACGACATCAGCATTTATTTTGTATTACGAACATTATCTTAAATTTCGCTCTACTACTGTATATTATTCTATTTTTAATGAGCATGATCACATGAAGTAAAAAAAAATGTTGTTTTGCAATGAAATTTAAAAGTATCACCTTGTACACTGACCATATTTACATAATATTGTTATAATCTTTTAATAAATGAATTGAGATTAGTAAGCCTCTGTGAGAATGAACACCTAACAACCACTTTTTGACTTAAGTAATTGTACTTTTTTTGATAAAGGTGGGAAAGTTAATGAAAATAATTAACTCATGTAAAGTTAAGCGAACACAATATTGTTAAGTTCGAAGTTAATAATTAGCTAACTAATAATAAATTTATCTCGCTAAGTTCAAAGTCAATTAATTAAAAAAAAAAAACATTGACTTTACTAAATTTAAAAAAAGTTGATTTACTTTTTTAATTTGTATGTGAATTACACAAATAATTATCATTTATATTAATGATATTATTTTATCAAGAAAAAGAACAGAGATAAAATATTACCTATTACTATCATTTCTGTATTTTATTTTTTATTTATTACCATACATTCTGTACCGTATTAATGTATAGAATGTATTAAACCAAAATTCCCAATGACATATTTCGTTTAAACTCAATGTTTTATTTTTAAACCAAACCGAAAAAAATCTCAGTTGTTTTAACCGTCAATTAAATTAATTAAGCTAAAAATAAATAAACTTTTTAGCTTTACTCGAACTTTCTAACTAGTTAACGCCTACCTTTGGGTATCGCGACAATCTAGACGAATTGTAACTAAAAAAAAATTAAAATACCAATAGTATCTGTACCTTAAATCTAATTATATGCAGGTTATTTTTATATAACCCGAGAGTAAATACCAGATAACATATTCTATTAAATCTAATTTTATATTATTGATATTTTCATAAAGCAGATTAATAATAATTCTTTCGTATTTTTTGTCGGGTGCAACTATCGAGCGACATAACAATATAATGTCTACAACAATGATGATTGCATAACGTTTAGGGGTTGTTTTACACTCACACGAGATAGTCGTTGCCTAACGTCATGTATTATTTTTATTTTAAATCAAACTGAAAAAAGCGCTCAGTTATTTCAATCGTCAATTAAACTAATTAAGCTTAAAAAAAATACTTTTCAGCTTTACTCAAAGTTTTTAACTACCTAGTTGCAGACGCCTACCTTTGGGAATCGCGATAGTCCAGATGACTTGTAACTAAAAAAAATTAATGCCTCTGAGCCTAAAATCCTATTTTATGCAGGTTGATAACCATCGAGCAACTGATAACATATTCTATTAAATCTAGTGTCATATTATTTACATTTGACCGATTAATAAAAATCCTTTCGTGTTTTTCGTCGGGTGCGCCACTGCAACTTGTGCGGCTTATAACAATATAATGTCTACAACAATGCGTCGAACCGCCAACGATGTGTTGATGATGGTTGCATAACGTTTAGGGGTGGTTTTACACTTACATGGGAGAGTTGTTTTCGACATTATCCTGAATTAATGACGTATAATTCTCGGTCTTTAGCATTATCGACACTTGACTGGGCACCGAGACGTTGGTGTGCATTTGAAATGACAGCGAACACCCGTTGTTGTCGAACACGCCGACGGTGTAGTACGGGCTCCTTATGTAGATATGTGGCGTGTCTTCGTGACCGTAAATGAATAGGAAATTCCCTGCGAACAAATAAAACATAGCGATTAAGAACATTGCAATAATTATGTAATTCCATAATTTTTCTGGTGAGACTTTTTTTTTTTGCCTCGGGCTGGTTAATACTCTATTTTTTTGAGGGAATACGAACGTTTCGAGAGTTTCTAGTTTAGAATGATGTAAAACTATCAAAATCATAAAACTTTCGGTTTACAGACATCTCAAAACGACATCGTAATAAATGTCTGAAAAAGCGTATTTACTATTTTTGACACGTTTTAGACCTACAAAGTCATAATATTTTCAATACCTTTTCAGTCTTATATTTTGGACATTGTCATAAACAATGTATCCTAACGAATTTCTTCTTATACTTATATAATAATCGGTGCTTTTACATAATGACGTTGAATTCTCAGACCTCTTTCATAAATAGCATCGGAAGATTCGGCCATACAATTGCATATAACGATCACATTCGCAGCACATTCAATCATTTTTCTGTTGATATTTTATTTTTATTATGATTAATTCCGTGCAACCAAATATCTTAACGACTCATAACAGTGGTTATTTCACCAAATTGTTAGTATTATTTATGACTAATTTAAATTTATAATTATTTTGATATAATTAAGTAATTCTTAATGAAGCTTGGTAGTAATTTTGAAAACATCAATTTTTTTTATGCCGAAAAACTAATTTGTGTAGTTGGAATCCAAACAACAAAATTATAATTTTAGGGAGTATCAAGTTTTGACGTATCATTGATTTTACGACCAACATAATGTTAACATTTGTGAGCAAAATCAGCTAGGGATCAAGTACCTACAATTCGGCAATTGCATAAGATTTTTTTTCCCCATATTTAGATGTGCTACTACATTTGTAGCGTATAAGCATTTTATTAAAAAATATTCAAATTTATTAGAAAAAATATATTGAGATGATCAATGGACCTCTGCCTGGTTTGAGTACGATCATAATATTATACTGCACTCCAAATTACTGTTTTGCCATCAAAAAAAGACAATGAAATAGGCGCATTCGCTTGCTCTCTAAAAAGACTAAATATACTGTGTTGTATGCGTTTTATTTCTTATAAAAATATATTTTTTTATGCGAATCAATTTCATATTATATGTATGACTCTATTCGAACATTTATATTTATTTTCTGTTGCTTTATATTAGTTTTTGTTACCTTAGGGGATTCGATACCGGAGGTTTTTTAGGAGTTAAAGATAGTCAATTTTCTAAGTATGTGCGTGCTTGTTGTATAAATGTGAACGTTGTAAGTGGTCATTAGTGTGACTGTGGTGTAAAAGAAATAGTTAAGCACTCACACAAGTACACGCACATGTCAATAACATAACAGGGATATGATATAATTATTATTAGTTTTGTTATAGTAGGTACCACAAATCGTGTGTTCGCTCGAATGAATCTGTATAAAAGTAAAAAAGTATAAAAGTAGGTATATAAGTAAGTATATAAGTAAGTATAAAATATAGATAATAATAATCAAAAAAGTATTCATTAATATTATTTTATTTACGACCATTGCGATACCGCTCAAACGTCTAAGATATCGTTGGGATTACATTTCGAAATTTTGAGAATATTTGTAAGCTTATATGCTATTTTCATGCAAAGATAAAGTTCGTTTAAGTACCAATAAGTAATGGCATACAATTATAATTGGCACATATACCATTCCCAATATGGCTTATTTACTCTGCACCTTTGTGACGGTAACTCTTATCATATTATAACTTAAGTTATACGTTTTAATCGTACGATTTTATTGCCAAGGATGGCCTACATTGATATGAAATAATATCAATCGTATTAATGCAGTAGGTAAAAATTATTGTTTGTTCTATATTCATCTCATTAGTGGGTGATGCACAATCTGTACACATATTTTGTAATGATTTACGAGAAGTTGAGGGAATACACAAATACCTATATAATATTGCATAATTACAAGAAATGAGTATATATAGGTACACTTATAATTACCTAAGTACCTAACAGTTATCATATTTAAATCACATTGATAAAATATGTAAGTTTAAATTTTTAAATTTAAATAACTCTATTGTTTTTTGAAAATCAAACCAATTATTAGAGGTATAATTGACTAATGCAATTAGATTTTGAATGCATCTTAAACAATTTACTAGTTTTCGTTAATTGTATAATCATATTCTTATATGGTATCCTAAAATCTAATCTATTATATTACACAACCATAATTAAAACAACAACACTAAAACTTTGAAATGGTAATCAACATATTAATTTTATTATTTAAAACTAAAAAATCTGACAAGCATAATATTTTAATGTACATTGTTGAGCTTATTTATCTGGTTTTTTTTTTGTGTAGAATATTATTAAATATTGTTTCTATATCGTCATGTGAAGTGAGTTTGGTTTAAATACGTTTAAGCATTTCATATTTTATAAAACTTATTGTTGCAGCGTTATAACTATGGTTTTGTTTGTAAACTACGTGACTTAAATCCTAGTAGTTTAAACCTAGTGTGAGTGATATTTTGTGTAGGTAACCATTGCAAATGGGCTAATAATTATTTAAAACTCACTAAAACAGGATGATCAATTGAATGAAGCCCATTAAACGGAGCCATGGAGATTATGTCATACCTAATGGTTTTTATTCAGGTAAAAGTGATTGATTCACATTTTTGAAGTACGATGGTTTTAGAGAAAAAAAATTTTTTTTGAGATTCATAATGTTCTGATTGAAGATGTGAGCGAGCGTAGTAATTTTTACATTTTAGAAAATGGTAATTGTATGTAAATTGTTTTTTCTATATCGACGAAGCTGCATTATTATTAACAATAGTTGAATTTAAAATTATGTTGGGCTTATTTGCATTAAATTTAAAATGTCATCACTGCTTTCAAAAGTAACAAAATTATTACAATTTCGGCTTTGGCTCTTTGAATCTATTATAGACTGGCTACCTATAGAGTATGTACAGTAAATTGGTTGTATAAAACATGCTACATTAATTTTGGTAGTCTGGTAAATTTTTCGTCGAATGAAAAATGTGATAAAATGTACCTAATACCTACTAATACAAATATTTTAAAACGAGAAATACATAAATAATAAATATACTAACACTAAATATATATGGTGTAGTACCTAATACATTATTGCAAATCATTAAAAATATATGTGCATTATGTAAAAATAATAATTTGTCATAAATGTTCATAAAAATTATTCTGAATGAAGAAAATAAGAATAATGTCCATAAGTATCTTATATCTATTCCTGATATATGTTCATAAAATATTCTTCTATTAAATGATTTTCATAATATAGTTATTCTCTCAGCTGTGTTATTATGATTCTTCCACTTTTTAAGAATTTCTGATCCAGTACGACATTGAATAATTTTTAGACGATTGAACTTTTATTTTACTTGGAATGACTCTTATAAATTTCAAAATAATTGAGTGAGTGAATAAAGTTTAAAATCAACGAAAATTAATTATGTCATCTATTGTGTTGTCATCAGTTGCTTATTAATTGGCTATCACAATATTATCCTATATTATAATATGTATTACCTACCTAGATTATGAACATCATTTTTTTTTTATCTTGAGCCCGGCAACTGTGGCCATAAGATTAATATGGAGACAGTTGGTTCGGAACACGCATATGTGTAGTGAGGATTTGACACTAAAACCTTGGTGATCACCCATCCGGAAACTATAGTGAAACCGGCTGATCCTTGCACACAGAACACTTTTTGTGACTGTGGGCAACCACCGCTCTTCACCAACCAAAGACAGACACATTTTTCTATGATATCTTTTATTTCATATAGGTATTTAAAATATCTTAAATACCATTGCACACTGCCGTTCCGCATTGATATTATTGTGTCAATGATAGTTGCACATTTGTAAAGGTAGGAAATGTCGTTTAACATATTGTCGTTAAGTCCGTATTCACGTATTTTGACGAAAATATTCCCGTTGTTCGATAGATTACCGCAATATAGGTCTGCATATTAATGATTTTTGTACATTAATAGCAAGTAAAGAATACAGTGCAGAATATTATTCCTACATGTAGTTCTTGTACCAGTATTCGAGTCTCGTGAAAAAAAGGTACTTATGGACCTAAAGTATTATACGACAAATTTATGCTATTACTGTAATATGGCCGATGATGCGATTGTGATCTGGCGAACATTTTTTTCACAAGTAAGTTAACATATCGTATAACATAATAGAGACTAGTGCTGTTCAAATATATTTTGCCATGAGTTTCCTAAAACTGTGACAAGAATATTGTTTAGTTAAAATATTTTGATGCCAACAAAATCATACGAGTGTTAAGGTACAGTTAAATATATAGAAAGAGGATTTCCGAAGCGGCGGGCAGCGATCAGATTATAATATTTTACTCGAGGTCAGCTAGATTTTTTTTTAATATGCTTTCAATGTATTAATTATTTTGTAGCTATAATTATGGATTATGACCAAAAACATATTCGTGTACCAATTCTGTGAAACTGTCATTATAAAAATACTATACGTGGAAACAAAATCGATATCAAAATTTTAGATTATGAGAGTGCATATAAATATTTAATTATTAATTATTATCTCGTTATTTCCTTAAAATAAACTGATAAAAATAATATATATAGGTTGTATAAATTTATTGCTCATATTTTCACTCTTGGTAATTTCAGATTTTAAATTGATACCACAGATCGTTGAGAACGTCATTTTGATTAAATTAGAGCATAACATTCAAAACAAAAAAATAAAATTGTGATTGAATTGTTAATACGAATAAACAAGTTATTATTAATTTAAGTAATGAACAAAATGGACATTTTAACGAAGAGTTTTTAATTAAAATTATTAGGAATCGTGACAAAAATGGAAAAATTAAAAATACCGTAAAAATTTGATCTTCTTTGAAAAATGTATTATGGATAATGGATATAATACGGATTCCA